CAGGCAGCGACAGCCGGCATCAAAGCCGGCCAAATCTGGCCTGGCCTGGGCCTGGCCTGGCCAAGCGGCGGTACGGCCCGTGCCGCCGGAATCGGCGAGAATCCGCGGCGCTGCCGAACGAAAAAAAGTCCGCGCTCGCCCCGCGGCTGGATGACGGCAGTAGTCAGACAGGCAGGCAGGGAGGCAGGCAGCTGGCTCGGTGGGTGCGTGCGGCTTTGCCCCACCTTCGGAAGGATCCGCAGTAGTTTCCGCTTCTTCGGAGCACCAGCCGCGCTCGGATCGATGCCGTAACGGTGGAAGGCCATCGCACGCACGTGGGCCTCTGCTGTCCTTGCACCACGCACAGCAGGCTAGGCTAGGCTAGGCTTTCCGGCGGCTCCAAGGTCCAGTACTAGTGCTGGCGGGGCTACCGAGTCCATAGCACCTATCCATCGACGGGGCGCAGCAGTCCGTGTCGCGGCCGCACCCTCATAAAGCTGCCCTAGCCTGAACGACGACAGCTCGCCATCGACCGCTTCTTGTCCGCCACCATCACGCATCCTTTCCTGCTCGCCATCATCGGCCCATCCGACTTCTTGCTCGGTCTGCTTGCTTGCTCCCTTTTCCTCTTCGGCCCCTCTCCGCCCCGCCGGTATAGACGCGGATCTCATCCCAACGATGCCGTGCACTCGCTTCTCGATGCGGCTGCTGACCGCGGGATTGCTGGCGAGCACGCTGCTCGTCTCGGCCTCGCCCGCCTATCTGCTGGACCGCCAGCTGCACCTCGAGCCTCGACAGGCCAATGACACTGCCACGCCCACCACCGACGCCGCGGGCGCCTTCCCGACCGACGTGGGCTACCTCGGTACCACCAAGCCGGGCGCCGCTCCCTTCCTCGTCGTCAACGACCGCATCCCCGGCTCCCGGGGCAACTCGCCCGTCGAGACGCGATGGAACACGACGGGCCCATCCGACCCGTCGTTTGACATCTTCAAAAACGTGGGCAACGAGTCGCCCTACTTTTCCACTCCCCTCTTTGCCAGCTTCCAGGAAAAGGCCGCCGTGCTGCCCGAGACGTGCACCGTGTCCCAGGTGCACCTGCTCCACCGCCACGGCGCGCGCTATCCGACCTCGAGCACCACCGAGGGCGCCCCGCTGTTTGGCGCGACCATCGCAAACGCCTCCAAGGCCGACGCCTTCAACGCCACCGGACCGCTCAGCTTCCTCAACGACTGGCAGTACCAGCTCGGCGCAGAGCTCCTCGTGCCCCTCGGCGCCCAGCAGCTCTTTGACTCGGGCGTACATGCCTACTACCGCTACGGCCGCCTCTACAACGCCACCACCCAGCCCCACAAGCCCGTCGTGCGCACCACGTCCGAGTCGCGCATGCTCGACTCGGCCCGCTACTTTTCCCTCGGCTTCTGGGGCTGGGATGCGCCCAACCTCATCAACCTCGAGGTCGTCCTCGAGGCCGGAGAAGGACTCGCCCCCGGCGCCTTCAACAACACCCTCGCCCCCTACGACACGTGCAACAACAGCGACACCATCACCGTCGGCGACACCTACCTCCGCCCCGTCTGGGACGAAATCTACCTCGCCAACGCCACGAAGCGCCTCCAGCCCTACGTCGACGGCCTCAACCTCACGACCGACCTCGTCTACGGCATGCAGAGCCTCTGCGCCTACGAGACCGTCACGCTGGGCTACTCGGACTTTTGCTTGCTCTTTACCCAGCAGGAGTGGGAGGGCTACGAGTACGACCTCGACCTCCAGTTCCAGGGCGACTACGGCATGATGTCCCCCACCGGCCGCGCCCAGGGCATCGGGTACGTCCAGGAGCTCCTCGCCCGCCTCACCAACACCACCCTCGCCGCCGGCAACCTCAACGTCACGACCCAGAACACGACGCTCGACTTTGACCCCGCCCGCTTCCCCATCGACCAGCCGCTGTACTTTGACTTCACCCACGACGACGTCATCGTCAGCGTCCTCGCCGCGCTCAACTACCAGCAGGTCGTCGGCGACTTCCTCGATCCGACCAAGCCGGACCCGAACCGCACCTTCCGCCTGTCGCACATCACGCCATTTGCCGCCCGCCTGTTTTTCGAAGTCGTCGACTGCACCGGCGGCAGCGGCAGCGGCAGCGGCTCGGTCGAGGCGGGGCGATACATCCGCACCGTCCTCAACGACGCCGTCGTGCCCCTCGACGACAACCAGGGATGCCAGCCCAACGACCACGGCCTCTGCAAGCTCGACGACTTTGTCAGGTACCAGCAGCAGAATGCCGAAAAGGCCGCCAACTTTGACAAGGCCTGCTTTGGCGTCAACGGCACCGACTTTACCATCACCGGACCCGTCAGGAACGGCACCGTCTACTAGATAGCGTAGGTAGGATCGCAGACCGACCATGGAGGCGAGACGGTGTGTGGAAGGCGATACAGCCCATTGCCCGGGACCAGTGTCACAGACCTGCTCTTGTCGGGACGTGCCATGCTCTTTCTATCAGTCGCGACGTGAATACGACGAATGGCGCCACTTTTGGCTCGCCGAGCGGCTTGAAACGCAGCGGATCAGGGACACGCGCATCGACCAGGTTACCCCCACTTCAGCCCTGGTGTGACTGCATCTGCAGCACCGAGCCCGCTGCTGGAGCAAAAATGCCCTCTGAACAGCAGGGTGCTGGGCTTGAGCGAGGCGGTGGAAGACACAAGGTGACCAGCAGGCTGATCACAGACCATCTCTTGAGCATCAGCCTCACCGGCATTCCGAGTTCAGATGCTGAAAAAGACGTGATGAGCATCTCTGTCCTCCGACCCTGCTTCAAAGGACTGAAGACTTGATGAAGAGTGGAGGGGATTGTGGTTGTTGCAACCCTCACAGCAGCAGCTGCATGCAAGCAGATGCCAGCTTGCTGAAGAGTTTGAGGTAGTGGCATGCCCCCTTGTTGTAGCCTGGTTAAAGATCAGGCCATGCAGGGTGGCATCCAGTCGACAGCCCATGAGACAGGCCTGTTCCCTTTGTGAAGAAGAAAGAGCTGAAGATGGGACTGTCTGTGGGCCTGCAGACAGATCTTGAAGCTCTCTCAAGAAAAGGATCTGGAGCAGAACCGAGACATAGCAGGGAGCTGTAGGGCTACAAGAGTCCAGAAGACTGACCGGCATCTGCAACTGCATCAAGCACAGCATGACTTTGCTTGAGCATAGTCGCATGCCCTCTTGCAACATGCCCGGTGTGCTGGTGCCAGCTGGATCAGCCTGGACGTTGGTCAACATCTTATGAGTCATGGGAGCGTACTCGGAGAGCAAGACCTTTGCCAGATTCAAGAGCGTCTTGGTTTTGGCAATGTTGTTAGCGATATCCTTGCCCAGCCTTGCCATCTGTTGAAGCACAGCTTCAAACTGCCTTGTGCGTTGAGCTGTGGGGCTCTGGCAGCCTCAAAGGTCTCACACCACTCCTGGCCTTCCTTTTTGCGCTGAGCTGCAGCAGCCTCATGAGAGCTGGTGGGAGCAGCTTCTTCCAAGTCAAGACTGATGCAGGCGTGTTGTTGACATTGCTACACATCAGTCCTTCTGTGCAAACACGCACGCCAAACACAGCAAGCCTACCTTATCCAGCGCTTGATGTCGGGCCATTAATCGACAACTTCCCCACTTTGGCAGGGCGCAACCATGCTTCAGGTGCTTGTTGGCGCCGAACAAGAGCCGATGGGGGGACGCGTCGTCTTCTCTATCATGCTCACCCACCTCGAACGAGCCCTTATCCACTCGAGGCCGTTCCTGCTGCTGGTCGAATGTCGTATCGAGACGGCAGGATGAGGGCACCGCAGTTGCGGGCCGGCTGTTGCGCTGTCTTTGCCCGCGACGACCAGCCAACCACTTTGCCTGCCCTGACTCGTCGGAGGTGTATACAAGGCGAGGGCCTCGACGGATGCTCCGTTCTCGTCTCGACAGACGACTTCGTCCCCTCGCACGACGCTAGCGCAGCACCGGAGCCAAGCTAGGCGATCCAGACAAGATGAAGTTGTCGCCCATCGTCGCGACCCTCTCCCTCCTCGCTCTCCCAGCGTCTGTCCACGCCCAACAGCCGGCGGTACGACCTCACCCCGCCCATACACCCTATACCTTCCAGCCTCTGCCTGGCGGCGCGACAAACGTGCGGTACTATAGGATCGACAACGTCGGTACCCTTCGTCTCTACACCGACCGCGGCGGAGTTAGGTGGCTCTCGTTCCAGCGCTCCGACCACGGCGCGGGCGGATGGTGGATCGGCAAGCTTCGAGAGGGCGGTCTCTTCGTCGAGCTCAGCGCCGCGACTGAAGTATCCTGCGGCTCCGACCAGGCCGACTCGCTCTTCCGCGCTTGTCGATACTTTGGCGACCCGGCGCACGCCCGTGACTTTGGGCTTTGGGCAGATCAACCTCATCGGTACGTGGTCGCGCGCCACCCACCACGTCGTCGCCCTCGCCCTCCCGCTCGTGGCATCCTTGTGCAACATCTGCGAGACTGACCGTCCGTCCTTCTTCTCTCACCCTCTCTCCTCCTCTCCGATCGACACGGCTCGTGGCGACGCAGTCGACAACCGACCCAACAAGTCCGGTGTCCACCCGATCGGCGCGTTCACCTAGCACTGACACCCGTCAGGGAGGCGGGCGGGCGCTCGCTCGCACCGACGTCGTCGGACAGCCTGGTACCACGACGCCGACACGCGGGCGCTTGTCCGCTCAAGGCGCCTGCTCGCGATGTGCTGCTGCAGCGAGGGCCTGCGAGTCCGTCCTTGCGCGCGTGCCTCCAGAAGACGCACCCTGTCCGGCCACGGCCACCCTACGTCGTCTAGCTTGGTCGTTTGTCTCCTCGCACACGTCGCCCAGATCCGCGTTATCAATGGCAGCTTCACGGGCCTAGATGGTGCGCCGCATCCCGTCTCAGATCTCGATCGATCTCGCTTCTCCTTCGTTGATCTAGTATTGCAGCGACGGCGGTCACCAAGCAGGCGCATCATGCCGCCGTCTAACGCTCGAATCGGCTAGTGTGACGCTGCGCTCGAAAAGGGGCGGGCGAGCGGTTTAAGATCGCGACGAGAGGGCAGCCTGGAGAGCAGTGTAGACCTCGACCTCGATCTCGGCCTCGGCCTTGGCCTCGGGCGACGAGGCGGTCGAGGCGACACGCTGAGCGTCGGCGAGGGCCGATCGGACAGCCTGGGGATGGGTTCGAAGGGCAATGACGGGGGGAACGCGGAGAGACTGGGTCAGGAAGCTGGCCGCGTGGGTCCGAGGGAGAGGACGCATGCCGACTCACCTCGGTCGAGAACTGGTCAAGAGTGTAGGCCTCGATAGCGTTGATAACGAGCTTGTTGTTGGGGTGAACGGTGGCGAAGCCACCCGAGACTGCAGGGGCACGAAGGGATCGCGCAAGACGACAAGGGCAAGGGGAGTCAGCACGGTCTGTGCGATCGACCAAGGGATTCGAGTTGCCGCACAGAGGAGCCCTTTCGACTGGAGCCTGGTGCGACCACCCGATGCGACCCGAATCTCGCACGGCTGTCGCAAGTCGCCAGATGAGGATGATCCTGCGCACGGCAGGCGTGTTCGACGAGCCGATACCTTCGGATCATACCATGTCCCTCGGCGCGGACCCCGGCGTAGCAGCAGCGCAGGTTGCCCTGTTGCGCCAAAGCCTTCCCTCTTCCAACCGACGACGTCACGATGGCGCCTGCTCCCGCTGCCCCCAAGGTGCATGCCGCAAGACACTCACCGAACCACTTCTTGGTGCCGCTGGACTCGACGACCTCGAGGAGGCCGGGTCGGAGCTCCTCGACCGAGGGGACGTGCGCGGCAAGGATGCCCATGTCACCGGAGGCCGAGGCGATGTTGACCTGGGTGACCTCGCTCGAGTCGTAGATGGCCTGCGGGGACGATGTCGAGAGAAGGGAGGCGAGGGGAAGAGGAGGGGGAGGGGGGAGGAAGAGGAGATGAGCAAGTGACGCTCGGACAGTGTGCGAGCAAAGTGCGCTTTCATGTCGAGGCACGATCGGCCTTGGCAGGTGCAGGAGCACGATCCGGTGGCCGTGGTGGCCATCGCTGCTGGTGCCAGTGAAGAAGCAGAAATGGCGAGTGGACGAACGCACCTCGTGAGGGAGGATGAAGCTCAGCTTGAGCTTGTCACTGACGGCCTCGGCGTAACCACGGCGGGCACCGGCAAGACCGAGGGACGAGGACCTGGCGACGGTGGCCATCCTCGAGCCACGGAGGGCAGTCTGAGCGGCGACGCGAGCGAAGACCATTTTGTTCGTGAAGAAAGCGAGTACGGCGAAGACGAGGCGAAGGTGAAGGTGAAGGCGAGGGTAGGGAGAGATGGCAGATGGAGGATAGGATGACGAGCGTGGTGATGGTTGTGTGGAGTGTCTGCTATGGCGCTGGCTGCTGGCGGCTGGCGGCTGGCTTGGCGGGCAGCCGGCACCCAAAGGGCTGAAATCTTCGCGGCCGTCTGCCCCTCGTCCCGGCCTGGCCCACCCACACCGGGCGACGGCGGCAGCAGCAGCCAGAGCTGCAGCGCGCGGGCCCCGGTGCGGGAGGCCAGCCCTGACCCTGGCTCTGGCCCTGGCCCTGGCTCTGGCCGGGGCGATTTTCGAGGCGGCCGTGATCGGCTTCTCTCGGGACAGCCCCCGCTCATTGGGCCCACTTCGGATCCGACTGCATCTCCGCACACACCCACACACACACGCGCCCACACGCTTCGCTGCCGGTCCAGGCTGGCTGGCTGGCTGGCTGGCTGGCGGTCTCCTCTCTCAACGCCATCGCTCTTTGCTGCTGTCCAGACTGCTTGTTTGCTTGTTTGTTTGCTTGGTTGCTCAACCCGACGCTCGAATCCGCCACCGGAGCGCCGAACTCGTCTACTATAGCTACACGGATTCTCAAAGCAGATCGCTTCTGCCTGCCTGCCTGCCTGCCTGCCTGCCTGCCGGTCGGGCAGCGGCGGCAGCGGCGGCGGCGGCGGCTAGTGAGCCTGGTCGTTGTTCCACCAACTCTTCTTGCGCGCCACTTCGCGCTTGCCGGCCAGCATCTCGAGCACCGAGCGCTGCTGGCGCTGCGCCTTGGCCCGCTCCTCGGCCGCACACCCGCTGCCGTTGCGCAGCAGCTCGCGGATGTGCTCGACAAACGTGTCCTGCTCCTCGATCGTGGCCGCCACGTCGGCCTGGGCCTCGTCGCGCATCCACGCCGCCACCTCGGCAGCTCCCTCGTAGTCGCCCAGGCTGATGTACGTCTGCATCAGGTCGCGAAAGACTCCCAGCGGAAGCACATTGGGCCGGCGCACTGGCACCGGATCCTCGTCGACGACTTCGACTGCTTGGCCACCGACCGGCGCCGAGTCGCTGTCGCGTGACGAAGAGTCGGATCCCTCTGTCGCCGAGCTGTCGAGGTTGGCGTCGCTGGAACTGCTGCTGCTGCCAAGGTCATCACCGACCGTGGACTCCGAGACCTGGCGGCGGCGGCGGCTGTACTTGCGGAAGCCGTCCTGCTCGCGCTTGGCGGCGTCGATCATGTCGCTCACGTTGTACATGGTCAGCTTGCCGTCTCGCCCCGACGTGCTCTTCCACAGCGGCAGACCGAGTCGCAGGTCGCCGCCCCGGTCAAACAGCGGCGTCCAGCGCAGCGCAGCCACGAGGCGGTCCAGCCTCGCGACCCACTCGCCAGCCAGCTCGTTTCGCCGGGAGGGCGTCCACGCACCCGTCCGGATCGCATCGGTGGCCGTGGGAAAGATCCGGCGTGCCTCGGCGCGCATGCCTTTGAGGAGCCGGCCGACGGTGGCAAAGTTGACGACTCCCAGCTCCTTGTAGCACAGCTGCACCACGCGCAAGGCCGCGTCGAGGCCCAGGCCCCGCTCCTTGGCGCTTTGCAGCTTGAGCTGGTGAGCAGGGTCGGGAGCGGACCCGGCGCTCGAGCTGGTCCTGGGCGACTGCGCCTGCAGGACGATCTTGCTGCTTCGCATGCACTCTCGCGCAACGTTGTCGAGAAACGCGCCATCGGGTCGGAAGCCAGCGCGCACGAGCGACTGCAACTTGCGCACCATGTCCCGCGGCGCCATGGCGTCGAGCGACATGAGCGCCTTCCACGATCGCAGAGTGACACCCTCGAGCATCTTGTGCGCATCGGCGAACCGCAGCAGTCTGCGCACCAGGTCGAACCTCTTTTGCCTCGACGCGGCCGACACAAGCTGGGCGATGATGTTGGACGTGGGCCGGAACGTGGCCGGCATGAAGGACTGGGTGCCACCCTGGGTCTCTTTGCCTTGCGCCTCGGCCATGTCTTGACCTCCGCTCGCCGCGGCCTCGCGTTCCATTTCGAGGCGCTTGAGCTGGGTGCTCACCTGCGAGCTCGGGGGTCCGTCGCCCGCGTGCGTCGTTAGCAGCTGGAAGGCGCGGTCCGGATCGAGCTCCATGAGGCCGGTGAGGAGCACCGCGATGTCGACTGCGTCCGGCAGCCGTCGCGCGTGAACTAAGGCCGAGAGGGCGTCGAACGCGCTCTGGGCGTCTCGCAGGCGGAAGTGCGCCTTGGCCAGCGACGTCATGTCGGAGTGCGACCACGAGCCCGTCGTCTCCTTTGAGATCTTGAACGCCTCAACGACCATCCGGGCGACATCGAGCTGGCGCTGCGCATCCTCGGCCCTTGCTCTGACCGCTGGGTCTTCGGAGTCGGCGCGCGAGGCCTCTTTGAACACCTCGTCCCTGGTCAACATCAGTACCAGGTCGATCATGCACCGGTTGGAGCAGGCGACCGCACTGGCCTCGATAGCCTCGGGCGAGGTCTCGTACCGCGACAGCCGCGAAGCCTGCCGATGCAGTTTGAAAAACCGCTGCGTCCGCCGAGACAAGAGGCCGGTTCCGGCCTTTGGAAACTGGATCCGAGCCCACCTCTGGAAGAGAGTCAAGGCCGGATCGCGGAGGTCCGCGTCCGCGAGCATCGAGATCACCTCGATGCGGTCTTCGTTGGCGTACATCTGGTCCCATCGAGCCACGCTGTCGGGCGTCAGCGGCAAGAGGCCGAGTCCGCGCAGCAGGCCGTTGACGACCGTCGGCTGGCTCGGCCGACCCTTGGTGCCCTTGGCCAGCACCCGGAGCATGGCGAGCAGCGTCCGTGGACTGACGAGAGGCCCGAGCCAGCGATCCGCCCGCTGCACCGTCGACCGGGCCTTGAGCACGGTCATGAAGCCGCTCGCGGCCAAGTCCGGCCTGTCCGCCGAAATGGCGGCCTCGCAAAAGCGCTCGAAGTCGTCGCCCTCGAGCATGGCCAGCACGTGGCGATCGCAGCGCTGCAGCATCGAGCAGGCGCTATGGATGGCGTCGACACCTGGCTGGGCGAGGACGAGAAAGAGCGAGGCTCGGAGATGCCTCGAGGCGATGGCGGTCGGCGAGCCAAACGACCGGCCGGCTCGGTCGCCGGGGGCGGACCTGAGCGTGCCCATCAGCGCCTCCAAGGCCCGTCGGACTTGGAGCTCGCTCATGGGTCTGTGCGTCGTCGCCGCCCTGAGCCCGACGATCCGCAGAGTGATTTCGAGGGCTGTCCTGCGCAACTCTTCTGGCGCCGCCTCGACGTTGTCGCTGTGACCCAGCAGCCTCTCCTGGGCATGAGCGAGCCAAGCTTGACCGTCCTCCTGCGCCTGAAGCAGGGCGTCGTGCCCGATGGCGTCGGTCTCGCGCATCATCCTGACGACGCCGAGCGCTGCGAGAGGGTCCTGAACGGGCTCGGACAGGTAGAAGCCGATCAGGCTGCTGCCCTCGTGGGGGGTGGGGAAGTCGTGGGTGCGTTCTGCGAGAAACCCCTGCAGCGCCTGGAGGATGGGCACGTCATCGCCATAACCGACATCGAGGACGGTCCTGACCAGCCTGTGCGCTTCGCCGAGGGGGAAGTTGTCGGGCACGACAAGCGCTTCGCCGTCGGTTCCGCCGTCGTCCTGCTCGGGGCCGCTGCTGCGCAGGGCACGGCAGTCGCTGAGCAGCAGCTTGAAGGCTCGCAAGGATGCCTCGCCGAGTCGCAACGAAGGGATGCGCGATTCAGCCAGCATCAGCGCCCTGAGCCCCGTTGCACGGCGCTGCGTCCCGGCGGCGGCACCGAACAAGCCGCCATCGTGCTGAGGTGCGCCGCCGGCGAGAAAGTCATCGCCGAGCAGGTCGGCTATGAGGAGGCGAAGGATGCCCGAGTGACCCGCGTTGGAGACGCGGTCGAAGAGCCTGACGAGCTGCCAGTCACTGGTGTGGCAGAGAAGGTGAGGGGCACGCTGACGGAGGCCGAGGTAGGCGTGCATCCCGTCTAGCTGCGACTTTGAGCGGGCAGCCCTGTACTCTTGCAGCGACCCTGCCTGCAGGATGCTCAGGAGGTGTTGGTCTGGTGGCTGATGGGACGAGGTGGGCAGGAGCGGGATGGCAGCCTCCTCGCTGGGGCCTGGAGAATCGAGTGGGACCTGATCTGCTGATGAGGTCGCCTCCTCGGATTCGACCTGCTTTGACTGGGCTGGTTCCTGCGGGACGCCTGGGACTTGCCATGGCGGATCGATCCACGGGTCTGGAAAATTGGCATGCTGGGATGAGGCTGGCGCTGGTGGCGGGGACGGGCGAGCCGAGTGGGATGAGCGGTGCGGGTCGTACGAAGGGGCGCTGTGGTAGGAGGCACTCTGATGCCGTGTCGGATATGGATGGGGCTGTGATGGTGGTGATGGTGGCCGTGGACGGACGCCTATTGCGGGCGGACGCCGTGGCGCATGCTGCAGCGTATTGGTGGTGGAAGGCCCGGCTGGTCGGGCGGAGGCGGGTGGCCTGTCGGGTCTAGTAGCAGCAGCATGGCGAGGATGCGGAAGCTGCGACGACGACGACGACGACGATGAAGAGGCCGGGTACGGGATGGTGCATGACCGGAGCGTTGCGTGGTATACGGTGGAAGAGGCTGCTCTGCGACAAGGGGCTGAGGCTGAGCACCAGGAGCTCAAGTGAGAACAGGATGCCATGCCATCCCTCGGCCGTGCGTGAACCGTTCAATGGCGATTCCGGGGGCGGTTTGAGCGATGTGCCGCGGTGTTCTATGGAGGCGGAGCAGGGCCACCCGAAGCGCTGGCGCGATGGCCGCAGACGTGCGGTGGTTGAGGTGGTGGCGGTGGAGCGAGGAAAGCCCAAGTGACGGAGAGGATCACCGGAGCGGGAAGGTGAGCATGTCCGACGTGTTCGAGTGCAAACAAGATTGGCGGCGGCGGCTAGTGATGGCAAAGCAAGGCGGCGGGGTGGGTTGAGTTGGTGATGGAAAGGGGTGGTGGCGATGGCGATGGCGATGGCGGTGACGAGGGCGGTGGCGGCCGGTGTGCGTGGAGGGCCCGAGTGATGAGCTTGCTAGGAAGAGGCGCGGTGGCTGTTGGGGGTTGGATCGCCTTACGAGAGAGGCCGTACTGTGCGCCACCCTTCTTCTGATGTCAGGTCAGGCCAGGCCAACGGAGGGCCACCCGCCAAGTGGAATTTTTTCCTGGCTTGCCCGAACTGCTTCCGGAATCCGCCTTTGGTCAGCCAGCCAGCCGGCCAGCCAGACGAGGCCCGCCCCTCGATTGGCGCCCAGGCCCGGCCTCGAAATTCAAGCAGCAGGCCCCTTCGACTGTCCGAGTTCCGAGAGCGAGCCACCCAGATAGATTGAGCTCGGGCCAGCACCGTCGGCCCCTCTGCCTGCCTCTTCCTCCACCTTGGCAGGCTGCGCTAGCCAGCCAGCCCAGCCACCTCGACCTCTGCGGCTGTCACCACCGACGATGCCCTTGTTGCAAGCAACTCGGACCGCCGACAGGCTCGATTCGATTCTAGATGGAATCAGGCTACGACTCGACGACGGGCTCACGGCCTAGGCCAGCCGCGGCGCTCCCGATCTCGCTCTATCTGGGCTTGACCCTGGCGGCGCCGACGATGTGGTTGCCACCCGGCAGGTACGAGGGACCTGGCTGGCCGCCGCGCAACGCAGCTGTGCTGGCTCGCACCCGGTCGAGGCGCGGCGTCATGTGCCGAAGCCGTGCCGCGCCGCTCTACGCCCGCCCTCGGCGTGCCCGTCGACACCCGACAGCGTCGTCCTTTGTTGATTTGCTGGTCATTGTCTGGCGGATTGCGCCACAGGGTGGGCGGATCACGACACAGATACACAGAGGGAGAGATACGGAGAGCCAAGAGTCAGAGTAAGAGTGCAAGCGACAGACCAGACGCTCCCGGTCCGGCTCGGGTTGGGGCCCTCGGCGGTTCCCCGCATTAGAGGGTCATGCATGCGTGCCCGGCCCGGTGCTCTTTGCCTCGCCTCGCCTCGCCTCGCCATCAAATAGGGCAGGCAGCCTCGCCCGCCTCGACCTTACGACCATCCCAACGCATATCTACATCTACATCTCATCACGGACAGTCCTTCTGCCGCCGCCACCACCACCACTACCACCATCTATCCCCCCTTTCGCACGCACATCTGCCACGATAATGACGGCGGCACCCGCACCCGCCTCGGCCACGGCCGACTCGCTGGCCACCCAAAAGACCTACCACCTCGACTACGCAGACTGGGACCCTGCCGACCCTGCGTCGGCCTCGTCGCGCCGCTTCATCGCCTCGCTCCAGGAGGCCATGGTGGGCCACGGCTTCTTCTACCTCTTCAACAGCCCGCTCTCGCACGGTCCACGGCGCGAGGGCATGTACGACGTCGTGTCGCGCTTCTTTGCGTTGCCCCTCGAGGCGCGCCAGCGCATCACCATCGACCGCAGCCCGCACTTCCGCGGCTACACGGCCTTTGGCGACGAGACGACCCAGAACCGCCAGGACCTGCGCGACCAGGTCGACTTTGGGCCGCACGCACCCGAGCCCCTGCCGCGCACCCGCGACGAGATCGAGGGCCGCGCCGAAAAGACAAACTGGAAGAACCTCATCGGTCCCAACCAGTACGTCCCGGACGACGAGGTGCCCGGCTTCGAGCGCACCGTGCGCCAGTGGTTCCACGAGGCCAGCAGGGTCAGCGAGGGCCTCACCGAGGCCGTCGAGTGTGCCCTCGGAGTCGAGCGGGGACGCCTCGGCAGCTACATCAAGGGCAAGGACCACGACGAGGGCAGGTACCAGTACGCGCGGATGAAGATCATCCGTTATCCGCCCGGGCAGCAGGTCGATGGCGTCCAGAGGGACGCGCACAGCCGGCAGGGCGTCGGCGCCCACAAGGACAGCGGGTGGTGAGTTCCAGTCCAGTCCAGGCCAGTCAAGGCCAGTCCACTAGGCCGGCGTGTCGCTCGGGCTCGCAAGCCATCGGCCCAGCCCCCTCTGCTCACTGGCAACTGACCGACTGGAAATCCCCGCGTCCCCTGTCACTTGCCACCACCGCCCCCTCTCCACAGGCTCACGCTGCTCTCGACATCCCCCGTCGACGGCCTCGAGGTGCAGGACCTGCACGGCCGCTGGATCAACGTACCCTATCTGGCCGGGTCGATCGTCGTCAACTTCGGGCAGCAGTTCGAGAATCTGAGCCACGGCCTGATCCAGTCGGCGACGCACCGCGTCATCTCGAACCCAAGCTCGGTGGCGCCGCGCTACTCTGTGGCGTGGTTCAGCTTCCCGGCGCTCGACACCGTCTTTGCGCGCCCGCTGGCCGACGACGAGATCGGCGACGACATCAAGCGCCACTACGAGCGGCTCCGCGGCGGGTGGGACGTCGTGAGCGACGTGGAAAAGGGAGACCTGTTTGCCAAGTTCGGAGAGGAGTTTGGAGAGGTCGCTTGGAAGGGGCTGGTGCGGAGCCACCAGGGCGTCGTCAGGAGGTGGTACCCGCACCTTGTTGTTCAGTCGTAGCGTCGGCTCGCACTCATGGGCGATAGAATAGAAACGACTTGATGTCGACTAAGAGTCACACCAGACTGCGTGTGGCCCGCCCCTGAGCATGGCGTGTGTACATGTTCCCGAGCGACGCAGCACCATCACTGCTTGGTATCCGCCGGAACCCCCGCCGTCGTGGTTGGTGGCGTATCCTGCGTGGCCGGATCGGATGTCGTCTCCTCGCCGTCCTTGGGCCGTTTGGGGAGCCAGTGCATATGGTAGCGATTGAGGAAGGGCCACGGCGGTACGACAATCTGTCGCGTTGCGCGGCGGCGAGGGGTGCGTGTATAGCGGAAGAAGGTGGGTATGCGTGCGTCGGCATAGCTGGACAGAAGGATGGGATGGGGGGAGGTGACTTACCAGGACGGAAAAGACGAGGGCGAGGCCGAACATGGACAGGGTGACGAGCATGTTCTGCATCATGAAGCCCATCACCAGGCCGACGACCTGGTTTTCCCTCCCACCGCATCAAGAAGAACGGAAGGACAAACATCTCCGGTCAGCTCGTCGTTCTGCTCGGTCAAGCATGGAGCGGGGAGAAACGTACCGAGATGATGATGAGCATCTCCGAGTAGATGCGCTCGGCCAGACGTTGACCTTCAAAGTCCTGCTCGGGGAGGCGGAGGGAACGAGTCAGCACACTCGCAGCGTTTCTTCGTGACAGACTGAAGCTGGGAAGGGGAGGGGAGGAGAAGCGCACAATCTTGCCGTCAATGATACGCTGTACCGCCTCCATCTTGGCTACACCCTTCCTGTCCTGTGCTGGTTTCGTCGGTGTCTGCTTAGGGATCGCTGGGACTGCGAGGACGCTTTGATCTGCGACTCGATCGTGGAAGGGTCGAGTGGTGGTGGCAGAAGTAACGGGATGGAGCGAGCTTCTCGAGAGTCCGAGACGAAGAATGTCAAGCAGGAGGAGTGGGTGGAAGAGGTGGGGGTGCGAGTGCGAGTGCGAGAGTGCCAGCGAACCCTCCCTGCCGGTATGTACCTGGCGCCCCCTTCGACGGCCGCCGAAAAATGCGAGCGACCCCGTGCGCAGACACCTTCGGGCTCCCCGCTCGCTCCTCCACCTTCCTCCTTCCACCACCATCCACCATCCCCAATCCACCGCTGGCCAGCATCTACCTCTCGCACCCACACTCGCCCCGTTTCGCTTCCTCAGCCGATGTTCCGCCATGCCCGAGTCCAGGGGGACGAATGCGATTGCAATGAAATGATGCCATGCTGGCCATACTACAGAGACAGGGATCTGCGACGGGACAGGGCGCGGAGTGGAAGCCAGTTCCAGACTCCCCAGTCCAGTCCAGAGCACCTTCCCGAACGCCGAGCGCAAAGGCGGCAGCAGGAGGTGCAGCCCACCTCGGCCTCACTTGGGCTCGCCCTCGACCGAGGTGCGCCACCACTCCCGCAGACACGAGTAGCCTTCCCGGTCGAATGACTGCCAAGCCAAGCCAAGGCAAAAAGACAGACGTCGTCGAAACACGAAGAGGGTCAGTCAGGTCAGCCTCGCCTCTGCCGAGCACACGACTCAAGGCAAAGGCGCCGGTCCGCTCGACACTCACCTGGGCCGGGTCGCAGTTGCAGCGTCCGGTGTCGTGATACTTTTTCTTGTTCGTCGGGCAGTGGTTCCAGGGAATGTGGTAGTATCCGATGTCGTCGAAGTGATGCAGCCGGGCGCGGTCGAGCATGAGGATGACTGCGATCGAGTGGACGGGCGCATCGCCCCACCGCTCGTAGAAAAACTGCAGGCGGGCGCGGTCAGAAGGGAGTTGGGGACAGGGGGTTGGAGGTTCGTCAGCGCTCACTCGTCAGCACGCAACGGATTCATCGTCCCCTCTGCTCGGCCTGGGCAGCGCGGCGCACCGCACGGCACCCGCCGGGCACTCACGCCTCCCGCCTTGTCGAGCCAGTCAAAGTAGTCGAGGTACTTCTGCGAGCGCCAGAAGCGCAGGTCGCCAATCTCAAAGTTGCTCCAAAAGTGGCACAGGTTGTACCCGGGCTCCATGAGCTTCTCGGGCTCGTCGGTCATGAAGTGGAGGCCGTGGTCCTTTGCCAGGTAGTCCGGGTGCGCCTTCATAAACTGCTTGGTCGTCTCCCAGAGCGTGGGGATTGTGTCGAGGTACTCGTGGAGCGCCATGGTGAAGCCGTAGGTCTTGTTGTTCATCTGCATGAAGACGAACGGGTCGTAGTCGACGTCGCAGTAGAGCTTGATGCCCGGCTCGACGCGCCAGTAGTAGTCGAGGTCGAGCGTCAGCGGGTGGCGGAAAAAGAAGCCCGAGTTGAAGCGGCACATGTGGCGGTAGCTCTCCGAGTCGCCGTAGATGATGTTCTGTCGGCGGACGGCGGACAGGGCGGTCGAAGAGGAGGAGGTCGGAGGTCAGATAGGAAGAGGGTACGTGCGTGTCGGCAGCTGGCACCCACCTTTGCCTTCATCTGGGCCCGGGTCTCTGCGGCCTTCTCCTGGCTGATGTGGTCCGGATAGCTCCAGTGCTCCTTTGGGATGAGGCCGAAGCGCGTCTCGCTGCGCGTCATCTGCTGTACGCCCTTTTTGAACTCCTCGGTGAAGGGCTCGTTGTTGAGAAAGATCCAGGGGTAGCCGTACTTGCGGTTGAACTTTTCCTCGACGTCGCGCATGGCATCGCGCATGCCGTTGAGCTCCGAGTTGCGGACGAGGACAATGAAGCCGGCCTTGGCGCGGGGCGCCTGGTTGGCCATCTGGGGCACAAACGAGGGCGGGTAGAGGTTGCCGTCCTCGCCCTTTTCGGCCCACTTTGTGAGCTCGTCGATGGTCGAGGGCACGCCCGGGCTGTGCGTGTAAAGGTCGGCCACCGACGATGGCGGCCGGACGGCGCCCGAGGCCGCGGACTGGGGCGACTGCCATGGGCGCGGGATGGCGGGGAGCGCCTCCCAGCTGTCGCGCATGTTCTGCACGCCGTTGGTCGAGAGCGAGAGGTAGGTCGAGAGCGAGAGGACCAGGAGGAAGCAGGTGGCGAGCACAATGAGGCGCTGCGGCCGCCGCAGCAGACCCTCGATGAATCCGGCCGCCATGGTGGGTGCGCTGTCGGTGAGGGCGACGGTGACAGCTGAACGAGATGGGACGGGTCTGTGGTCTAGTGACGGTGGTAGCGGAGATGGTGGCGACGGTGAGGAAGGATCACGCCGCCTCTAGGTTAGCTGGTGGTCTGGTGGCAGGCAGGTGGGAAGGCAGGGAGGGCCCTGGCCTGACAGAAACCCGCCACGGAAGCCCGCACCCGCACAGCCGCTGCTGCTGCTGCTGCCTCGGCCACAAAGGCCAAGCAAGAAGAGGAGCGGAGGCGGGAAGCCGTGCGCCGCGAGCGCGCTTCCAGCTGCAGGTGGCAGGCAGGCGGGTCAAATCAGGCCGCCGTGATTTTTTCATGGAGCGAGGCAGGCGGCGCCGAGGCTCGAAAGTCGGACGCCTCCCGAGCCTCTTCCGGACCCTCGCTCCCTCGCCCCCTGGCCCCGGCGCGCCTCTCTTGTAGACCCCAGACAGGAGGATCCCAGGCTGGGGCTCATCGCCGAACCACAGTTACCCGCTCGCCAGCCTCCGCAAACGACGATAAAGCACAGCATAGCACAGACTGGGCTCAGCAGAGGTTGCATCTCGACCATCTTCGTTTTCTTTCCCGGTCGGGGGTGCCGCCGCCGAATCACGCCGTCAGCGTCAAGCCCTTGATCTCGTGCACCGGGCTGCTCGGCCGGCTCAACCGCTCCTCCTTGGCCGCCTTGAGCGCTTCGAGCCTCTCCTTCCACTTTGGCACCTGCAGCAGCTTCTGCTCCAGCGCCTGCTTCTCCTCCTGAAGCGCGAGCCGCTTCTCGGCGTCCTGCAGAGCGGAGCGGCACGGGCGGTGGCGGAGTCAAAGACGGAACGGGGTCGTGGTCAGCGTCCGTCGACACGGGCTCAGCCCTCTTGTGTTGGCTGCGCGGGCGCCGCGGCCAGCTCACCAGCTCGGTGAAGACGTAGCCGCCCTGGCCGTCGTACTGGAGCACGTAGGAGTGGTACTTCCACAGCGACGGGCGGTGCGAGACCGTCAGCATCGTGATGCCAATCTTGGTGGCGTGGTCGTACATGACTGCGAGGGTTAGAGCCGCAGCGGCGAAGCAACGGGAAGCAGTGGTCAACCATCAGCTCCATTCGACACTGCGAGCGCAGTGCCGGCCCCGCTCGGCCTCGCACTCGACCTCGCACTCGCCACTCACTCTTCTCAATCTCGAGCGTGACGGCGCTGGTGCACTCGTCGAGGATGGCAAACTTGGGACGGTGGTAGAAGAGGCGCGCCATGGCGATCCTCTGCTTGTCGCCGCCGCTGAGCGCGTCCCTCCACTCGCGCTGCACGTCCCAGCCGCCCTCGCGAGCGACAATGTGCTCAATCTGCACCACCTTGAGGATGTCGAGCAGGTCCTCGTCCGTCTTGCCGCGCGCACGCATCTCGGACACCGTGTGCGGGTAGATGATCTGGTCGCGAAGCGTGCCCAGCGAGAGGTAGGGCCGCTGCGGGATGTAGGTGAACTCAGACGTCGGCGGCTTGTGCACCTTGCCGCCGTAGACGGGCCACAGCCCGCCGAGGATGCGGAACAGGCTGCTCTTGCCGCAGCCGTTGGGCCCGATGATGAGCAGGTGCTGGCCGGGCTTGACGTAGAAGCTGAGCTTCTTGACCAGGATGTCGCCGTTGGGGCTGACGATGGGCACGTCGCGGAACTCGACGCCGGCGTCGTCGGCGCGGTCCTCCTCGATGGTGCCCCGCCCCTGGAGCACCTTGGCGTTCTCCTCGACCGACGCCGACGAGACGAGCTTCTTCTGGAAGCGGCCCGCCTTGATCTCGTCCATCGTGTCGAGCAGCTCCGACACGCGCGCCGTGTAGCCGGCCAGCTCCGAAATCTCCTTGTACGAGTACATGACGCGGCCAAAGGCGTCGCTCGACGAGAGCAGCAGGCGCCGGTTGGTGACAAACGACTCGGTGCGCGAGCCCATGTCGAGGCCCTTGCCGCCGGCGCCCGGGATGCGAACAAACACGGGCACGGCGCAGATGCACAGCTGCAGTCGAGGGCGGGCAGGCGAGGAGGGGTTGATCGGAGGCAGAGGGTCAGCTTAAAAAGGCGACAAGGCAGGTAAGCAGGCAGGCTGGACGATCGCGCCCCCTTGGCGACACTCACTCCGAGCGAGCCCCACAGCCATTTGATGATGCCCTCCTCGGTCATCGAGTGGAGGATCCGGATTTTGTAGACGCGGTTGACGTGCTTGATCAGGCTGAAGTAGGCGCGTTCGATGACATTCTGCTCGGCGGCCTGTCCGCGGTAGAGGGCCACCTCTTCGGCGTTTTCGATGAGCCTCGAGTGGTTGAAGCGGAACTCGCCCTCGAGCTGCTGCTCGGTGGCCGCGTACTGGCCAAAGGGCGGCGTGAGGGCCTTGAGGAGCGCCGCCGAGCCCTGGACGAGTAGGTTGATGCCGATGAGCGACTCGGCGCCGACGCGCTGGCTGAGCTTGTAGTTGTACAGGCAGACATCGAGGATGGGCTTGGCAAAGTTGGAGTAGATGTCGGCGAGCGACTTGGAGAACTTTGCGACGTCGACGGTGATGAGCTGGTCGGCGTTCTTGATGCGATCATCGAGGTTACCGAGCTTGTAGAAGGTCATGTCGCTGAGATAGGCGTCGTGGACGCGCCTCGTGAGGCGGGTGCGGTAGCAGAGGGCGAGCTTGGACTGGAGGAACTCGATCATCGAGTTGGTGTAGGTGGCAGGGATGGCGACGGCCATCCACCAGAGGATACCGACGATAAACTGGCGGGTCTGAGAGCGCACCAGGGCGGAGACGATGCGGCCGTCGAGGTCGGCGACGTAGAGGGAGAGCATGGTGCGGAGGACGAGGAAGACGGTGTGGAGGAGGATGAGACCGGCCTCTTTGGAGCGGATGCCGGGGACGACGATGCGGAGGATGCGCTTGAGGCGCTCGAAGAAGACGGCGTCGACCTCGACGCGGGGCGCCCTCGACTTGCGCCCCTTTCTCCCGCCCCTGCCGCCGCGCCCTCCTTCGTCTGCCTCTACGACCTGCTGCTGCGCCTGCTTGGCGCTGGAGGCGGCCTCTTCGCCCGGCGTGGGGCCTTTTTCGCTCGCATCGAGGCCGGCAGTCTTTGCCTGGGGCTGCTTTGGCTTCTTCTTGCGCCCCGCTGCGGTGAGGCCGCGGTAGGTAGATCCGAGGATGAAGGCGATGTAGCCGATGCGGAGGAAGCGCTGGATGGCGGCGTGGTTCTGTCGGTAGGCGACGAAGCCGCGTGCGCCGTAGCTGAGGGCGTGCATCTTGAGCTCGTCCATGGCCGGCCGAAGCCGCGACTGGAGTGCCATGGTGACGGAGCTCTCTGTCGTCGCAGAGGTGCGGTTCTTGGAGCGTCGCGGCAAGAGATGGGCTCAAGGGAGCGAGGCGGTGGCTCAGCCTGCCGCTGTGCGGGCAGAGGCAGGTGGAGGGCGAGACGTCCGACCGGTGCTGCTGAGCGTGAGGGAAGTAGTGCGAGTGCCGGCGATGGTCTCGATGCTGGCGGTAGCGGTGGTGGTCGTGATGGTGGTGGTGGCGACGACAGGCAGAGCGAGAATGATGCCGATGGGCTGAGGCTGGGCGAGGGAGCCAAGAGGGGCTGCGCCGTCGATCTCGTGGGTCGAAGGGGTCGGTCGACTCGAAGCGATCCTGGGCGTAACGCAGGCGGGCCAGACGACGCTGCCTTGCCTGCCTGCCCGCTGCCTGCTGCCTGCCGCCTGCCTGTCTGCCTGTCTGGCTGTCTGCCTTGCTTGCTTGCTGCCTCAGGGTCGCATGCCTCTGTGCGTGGCCCCGCGCTTTGAGCCTGCTGGCTGGTTGGGCGTGAAAATCCAGCCGTGCCCCTCTCGGCCCACGCAACCGCCCCCTTGCCGACATCCGGTGGCCAGCTGGCAGATCGGGGTTCGAATCAGGAATCGAGATCAAATCGGGAAATACAGTTAGATCCCGTCATCGGGGCCGAGCCAAGCCGGCGAGAAGAAGCCCAGCTCGAGCCTGCGAGCGCACGGCCAGCCAACCTGACAGACCAACACTTTGACTCGCACTCCACCCGACCCTTCTCCTTCCCTCCATCTCGACGCCAATCCTCGACTTCAAGGACCACTGCCTGCAACTCTGGCCCACGCCGCCTCGGCACAATCGCTCAACTCACTTCGTCTCGCCCAACATGTCGAACCAGGGCCAACAGGTCGACGTCACATCGCTGGACCTGCCACAGGTGAGCCCACCCTCCACCTCTCACTGCGAGCGAGCCAGCGAGCGTGCGGCGGCAGGACAGTCAACTGACGCTCGCCCTCTTCGGCCCTCCGCCCTTGCTCACCTCATCGCCACCGCATCAGCTCGTCGAGGTCAAGAAGCAGCTCGAGTCCGAGATCCAGCATCTCACCTCTTCGTTCGGACAGCTCAAGGGCGCACAGGCAAAGTTCAAGAGCTGCATCGAGTGCGTCGACTCCATCAAGCCAGAAAACGCAGGTGCGCAGCCCGAACCCCTAGTCATCGGGCGCCATCCGCCTTCTGAGCTCACCTTCCTTCCGACATCACCGCCTCGCTCACCCGCTGGCAATCCTACCTCACAGACAAGACGACGCTGGTGCCCCTCACTTCGTCCCTCTACGTCCCCGGCAAGCTCGCCGATCTCGAAAACGTCATCGTCGACGTCGGGACAGGCTACTTTGTCGAAAAGGTGAGACGCTCTTTGCTCCCCTCCGCCTCGGACAAGAGCCTCTTTCTGCACTCGATGCTGACCTACAGCCCCGCGTCCCTCTCCGTCTGCTAGTCCACGGCCGATGCGAAGAAAATGTACGCCCAAAAGATCGAATTCGTCACAAAGAACCTCGAGCAGCTACAAGAGACCATCATGCGCAAGCAGGACAACCTGCAGACCGTCACAGAAATCATGAGGGCGGTGAGTGGGACGCGTGACACGTACCGAGAGCTGTCGTTGTGACTCCTGCTGACCATGTCACACCCGCTTCTCCCTTTTCCCGGCCGACCGGCGAGCAGAAGCTCATCCAGCAGCAGCAGCAACAAAGAGGGGCAGGGCAGGGCGCCGCGGCGGTGTCGGCGTAGCAGTACCGCAAGTTTCTAGCATCGCTCATGATCCCGATCGAAACGATGTTCTCCGCGACCGTTGGCGGCAGCCCGCTGAAAGCGGGACGAAACGCTATTACGGCCACTCGGAGGTCAGAAGCACAGAGACAGACAGCTCGTGTTGAGGAGGGGCGTTTCATTAGGCATAAGCGGTTCGTGCGGATATCGAGAGCCAGACAGGGCCACGGTGATCTACGATGGCACTACGCGTCTCTTTTTGAAGTGCGGTTGCAGCGTCCATCCAGATACGGTAGGCCGAACACGACGATGGCCGATGGACTCGGCCCCGTTGATAGGACAGACTCGCGCCCGCGCTCGCGCATGCGCACCCATACATCCGCCCAGCTGCGCACGGAGGCACGGTCGCCGTCTGTGGCGGCAGTGAGGGGCGCATGGAGACGGGACGCGATGGCGGAGCGACCGAGGACGCTTGCGCCTATGCTGGGTCGATCGACTACGACGACTTCAGGTGCGCGAGAACGACGTGAACGGTCCGACGGGATGAGAGTTCTTGGCATTGCCGTCGACTGTAGAGCATCGTTGCGGTCCAGATTGGTCCAAGGAGGCAAAGTCAGAGGAGGGCGGTCAGCCCGCAAGGTCCGAGGCGCGTAGGGCAGATCTTCAAGGGCGTCGGAACACGTTCCGACGAGGTAGAAGGTACCAAAGCGGTAGTCGTCAAAGTGACGGGGATCGCTAAAGTACTCGCAGGCCGAGTACAGGTGGTCGTTGCCTGGCGCGCGAGGGCGCTTGCCGCACGGGATCTCGTCCGCCGCGTTCAGGGAGACCCACAGCCATGCGTGGCTCTGGTTGTCGCCGAGCTGCCACGTCCTGGGCATGTAGTTGGCGCTGACGTACGACAGCGACTTGACGCCATCAGGACGCGTGTAGATCCGCAGCGTGCCGTTCTGCTGTATGTGGTAGTATCGGACGTTGGTCGAGCCCTGCGGGACGGGCTTGAAGTCGACGGTCACGGGAATCGTATCGCTTGGTTCGCCACCAACCGTCGTCCCGGCGTCTCCATAGGGCCCTGACGCGGGCGGCCGTGCCCAGGCACCCAGTGCCATGGACAGGATGGAAAGGGAGGCGAGTGTGAGCTTCATGCTGTTTGGTCGGTTGGTGCTGCTGGATGTTTAGGACAGGGGATTGGGGTACAGAACAGGGAGAGGCTTCCCTCGACGCCCCACCTATGGCTCTACTTATACGTACGTCGCCGAGCGAGGCGAGGCACGCTAGCTGCTCTTCGAGGCTGCCATACCCACCAGCCCCCCACTCAACCCAAATGCACGAGCCCGATCGTACGACGAAGCATTCATGAACAGGGCGGGACAGGGCATCTTCGTCTGGCGGGTTCCGCTTACGTCGAGGCCCTACGCCAAGCCGGTCAGCCCTCGGTGGCTGTCATACCTACATGTGTATCAGGTTTCATCGGCTCCACCATCAGCCCAAAGCTCATAAAGTGCCACGCTGACCAGGTCCCGGAGTGCGATCCGATAGTGCCCACAAAGACGTACACAACGCCATCTTCAGTCTCTTGACGGGGCGCTACAAGACATCGTCCCATGACTACTGCAACTCGAAGTGGAGCCCCCCGGATGTCACAGCCGGTGATCTGCGACTACATCCCACACGGTCGGGCTTGCGGCGCCGATGATGAACGGTGAGGGGGATAGACAATCAGCTGTGGTAGGAATATGGGTGTAGCCCGCTTCGAGGACAGCGTCGGCCAGGAGGCTCCAGGTCCATAGCGGCCAATGATCAGCTTTGCCTTTCTCGTACCGGAGCGAGATGTCTGCGAGCGTTTCAAATAACCGCACACGTTGGGGGGCCGGACAGCGCAGTGCGAAGCAAACAGTAATGAAGAAGTGGTGCGAGAAGCCAGTAATGTCATGGATGTGGACAAGTCGGACATAAGTCTCGAGCAGAGCCGCAGCAGTATCTAGCAGCAGCAGCCTTGGACGGACAGCCTGAGTCGAAGAGAGAGTAACGTTGCAGGAGGAATCGACGCGTCACAGCGATTCGCCGCCTACGCTGGCAACGTCCACGGTCCCTTTGATCAGTCAGGAAGAGCTAGGGGAGGTCCAGTGGAACCTGCCGAGGTTGTGCGGGTGGTTGTAGCTCTTGTCCTCTACGCCGTCGCATCGGCAACGGGTAAGGGGCCCATGGATCGTACAGCGTCAGCAAGGGTACTCGAGCGCCATGGATCGCAATGCTGACCTGAGCACTCACCGAGGAGGAAGAAGTGGCCAAAGGTGTACTTGTTGGGGTTCCTGGGACTGCTGAAGTAGTCGCACGCCTTGGGCAGGTCATCGTTCCCCGGGCAGGGGGTCTCTTGGCCCGACTGCAGGCCAATCAACGGGACGTCGACGCCTCGCTCCACGATGCGCCACAGTGTGCAGGACGAGTCGTACCTGGCATAGCCAATCACCTCAATGCCGTGCCCGTCCTTGTAGATTCGGAGGAAGCCAGTGCCCGGGATCTGGTAGTAGAGGACGTTGGTCGCCCCGGTCGGAAGCTTCGGCAGGTTGCAGGGCTGTTCGAAGGGAGTGGGTTCGACGGCGGGCTCATCGGGCGGGTTGAGGATGGGCGAAACGTGTGATTGAGCACGAGCTACGGTGCCCAAGAGGGCGACGGAGAGGATGGTGACAAGGGCGTCGAACTTCATCTTGCTTGCTTGGGTGTTGTTCTTGCTCGAAGGGGTGGATGATAGAGGGATGGACAGGGAGGTCCAAGGTCCCGACTATTTATACCGTCGTTGGCCGATTGAGCTCGCCGGGCGGGGCTCGCTGGGGAGCAGATTGGGACACTGCTCGATCAAACGACCCCGCCTCGCCGAACCTGCCCCACCACCCACCTTGCCCCACTAGTCAGCAGAGGGGAAAGATGACAACACGGGACGACTCCCGGCTTCCTGCCCCACATCCCGAGGCTCGCGCGTACTTCCCCCGTCCCTGCCCCCACCATCGGTCATGCATGCCCGAGCGAGCGTCGTTGTACGCGCGGGCCGTCGCGGCTGCGCAGAACGTGCGAGCTTCATCCCGTACAAGGGCCGACGAGCCATCGGCTTCGGCCAGAGCAATGATGGATGGCGACGCAGAAGCAGTAGCTGCAGCTGCCGAAAAAGAGGGAGGCGGGGGTACGAGGGCGCCGACGAGCGTGTGCCGACATGTTGCGCGTCGAGGAGATCGCTCGCCGTGTCCCGTGCTCCGCGGAGTCGGGAAAGCGTATAGAAGTACAGAGAGAGAGAAAGCCTCGGAACGAAGGGTGGGGGCATTGCAAGAGCTCGCGGCATGCAGTCTCAGTTCATCTCGACCGGAGCCCTTTGGTCCGAGGCTGATGGAGTCCTACAAGGGTCGAGGGGATTCCGCGGTTGGACAGCTCGTCGATGGGGGAGTCAAGGGGATGAGGCCGAGCAACTAGGCAGACGCAACCCGCACCAAGCTTGATGTTAGCGCGACTTTTTGTGCCCGCTTGATGCCTGGATATGCCGGCGGCGTGAATCTTACACATCGGCACCAGCCAGGACGATAGGATAGCGGATGATGGATTGACTGGCTGAATCGCTCTGGGCCATGGATGCTGCGAGGCAGAATGCTGGGACGGGTACAAATACAGGAATGAGGATGGAGATAAGCGACGAGGAGAGGCCACGTGCGGAGGGACCGCCGGGCCGTTGCCTCCGTGAGGCTAGGGCTTCTTGATGAAATCGGTGCTGAGGTCGACGCCCTCGAGGTGGGTGTTTTGCAGCTTGAAGCGGCGCTGCCCGGGTCCCTTTTTGCCCTTTTTCTTCTTGGCGAGGGCGCTGGCCGGGATGGGGGCGTCGAGCATGTCGGTGGTACTGAGACCCTCTGCGCACACCCGGCGAGGAGGTGGCGGTGACAAGCGAGGCGAGCGAAGGAGGGAGGAGGGAGGCGGGAGGCGTGTTAGAGACGGGAAACGATGGGGGATTGGAAGAGGGAGAGTGTGCACGGACGTACCCTTTTCGAGCTCCTTTGGTAGGTCTACCAGGTCCGGCACCTTGAGCTCGTGCCAGATCGTCTTGAACTCTGGTGGCGCAGAAGGAGGATGGTGTACGAGGGCGATCCCGAGCGTCAGCCAGGCCCAAGGGGGGGATCAGAGTCTGCAGTGGAGGGCACCCATCGACTGACCTTCATCGACGCCCTTTGCCTCTGATCCGCGCAGCGGGTTCCAAAAGACCTGCTTGATGGCGTTATCCTTCTGGCCGCGCAGGACGAGGACCTCGCGGTCCTCTCTGGGCTCGTGCTTGGACAGCTCCTCGATGGCCTCCTTTGCGGCCGGGTAGGATTCGCGCAGCTCAGCGAGGCGCATCCCGGCGCTCGTGGACTTGGTCGAACCAGCACCCGGATGGTGGTAGCGCTCCTTGAGCAGCTTTACGAGGTCGGCGGGTGAATGTAGGTTGAAATCCGGCTGGGGCGGGGGTGAGGGAGGTGGTGGGATGATATGAACGGAGAAGATGTCAGCTCGCGGCAGTTGTCGTGGCGGCAAGCGGGGTCAGGGCGGGCCGGTGCGCACCTTGTAAGTCCATAGGTCGGTCTTTGTATCGTGCTGTACGCGCTCGTGAGACTTGAAGCGGTGGAATAGGTTGCTGTTGGGGTCGAGGAGGGTGGGTAGGGCGTTTGAGAGGGCAAAGTCCTCGAGGCGGACCGGGTTGGGGTTGGCCTTGAGGGCATCGATGGCGATGGCGAGCTGTGCCGACTCGTGGGTGCCTGAGCCGGTTAGCGAAGGCTGGCTGTAGATCTGACTGCTGCTCATGTTGGCGTGCCTTCGCTTTCTAGTGGCGGCAGCAGCAGTGACCGAGAGGTGGTGGTAGAGGGGAGAGAGGGGGAAAAGGCGCGAGGTGGGCCAGGCCAAAGACGACGTGCCTGGCAAAGGGCCCCGCGCCGGTGGCTTTTGAGCTGGTGGAGCCGTGTTGGCCGACTCCCGAAAAAAAGAGGCAGTGGAGCGGCCCCTCTGCGAAATTTTTGTGGGCGCCCGGAAGAAATGAGGAAAAGTGCGGGCGAGCGGCGCGTTACCCTCTCTGGCGGCTGAGGCAGTCGAGCAAGTTAACGCCTCGCTCGCCACCTCCTCGACGCCAAGCTACCACCATCGACGACTCTCTCGGAACCAAGTACAGCCTCTCTCTGTCTGTCCATTCCTATCGCGCGCGCAGGACCCGAAGCGGTCCGCAGACCTCGCCGCCATGGTCCGCTCCTACCTCCGCCACGCACCCACCCAGGCCTTTGGCCTCATCGCATCCCCTACCTCCAACTCAATCCTCGACTCCAACGCAAAGGTCGCATTCGTACCCGCACTCGAAGACGTACTCGTGTGGGACGTCAAAAAGGGCCTCCTCCTCTCGACCTGGCACGAGGTCGGTCACCGCTCAAAAGTCACCGCACTCGCACGCAGCCCCTTCAACAAAGACACCTTTGCCGTCGGCTACGAGGACGGCAGCATCCGCATCTGGTCCGCACAGTCCGCCTCCACCACCATCACGCTCAACGGCCACAAAAAGGCAGTCACCTCCCTCGCCTTCGACAGCCAGGGCCTCCGCCTCGCCAGCGCAAGCCTCGATACCGATGTCATCTTGTGGGACGTCGTCGCAGAGACCGGCCTCTTCCGTCTCCGCGGCCACAGGGACGCAGTCACCGCCGTCGCCTTCATCCACACGCCAGTGGCTGCTTCCGAATCAGGCCCTTCGTCCTCTGCCAATGCTACCGCCGCCGCCTCTTCCAGCAGCTCCTCCGCCCCCGGCTATCTGCTCAGCTCGTCCAAGGATGGCCTCGTCAAGCTCTGGGACCTCTCGCTTCAGCACTGCGTAGAGACTGTGGTGCCCGGACGAGGCGAGATCTGGAGCCTCGCAGTGTCGCAGGAGGTGCCGCTCCTCTCCAGCGGCTCGAAACCGACAAGGGACGGCGAGAGCGCAGACGACGTGCACGACGGCGCAGCACTCGTTCTCACCGGCAGCTCCGAGGGTGAAATGCGGGTGTGGGAGATCTCGGCAGAGGCCCTCATCAACGGCATCAGCGGGCTCAGCAAGCCTGACGACGACGCCGCACTGGCCGGCTCTGCAGCGACGACGGCGACGACGTCCAAGTTCCTCATCCCGCGGGGCTCGGTGCCGCTTTTGAGCAACCACCGCGTCTCGCAGATCCAGTTCTGCGGCAACACGGCCCTCGCAGGCCAGGGCTACATCGCCGTGTCGAGCACCGACAAGGCGGTCCAGATCTTCCGCCTCCGAACATCGGACGAAGTGGCCAAGAAGATGGCACGTAGGCGCAAGAGGATGAAGGAGAAGGCCGAAAAGAAGGCCAAGGGAAAGCAGGGCGATGCCGCCGCCGGTGCTGGTGCCGGTGCCGAGGACGACGAGGGGTCCATCGAAGTCACCTGGGCCGATCGCATCGAGGCGTACACCAACGTCCGGCCGACGGCGGGCAAGCTGCGCAGCTTCAGCACCGTCGTTCCGGAGTCGACGAGCTCCAACAAGATCGGACTCAGCCTGCTTTGCGCTCTCTCGACCAACGCCATCGAGGTCCACAACATCCCGCCGCCGCCCAAGAGCAAGGCGGAAAAGGCCGAGCCCATCGAGCCCGTGCTGGCATCTGCCCTTGACCTGCCCGGCCACCGCGCCGACGTGCGTGCCATCGCTCTCTCGTCGGATGACTCGCTGCTGGCCACCGCGTGCGGTGCGGGTCAGCTCAAGATCTGGAACGTCCAGACCGGGCGGTGCGTCCGGACGCTGCCCTGCTCGTACGCGCTCAGCGTCGCCTGGCTCCCGGGGGACCAGCACGTCCTCGTCGGCTGCAAGGACGGCACGCTCCGCAGCTTCGACGTCCGCGCCGGCATCGCCATCGAGACGATCCAGGCGCACGAGGGCCCGCTGTGGAGCATCGCCATGCGGCCCGACGGCCTCGGGTGCGTCAGCGCCAGCGCCGACAAGGACGTCAAGTTCTGGGACTTTGAGATGCGGGCCGAGGAGAGCAGCGACGACGAGTCCGACGACGACGACGACGACCACGACGACGACACGGAACCAAAGCAGAAGCCGGCCAAGGGCCCGCCGCAGCTGGCGCTGGTGCACGTCCGCACGCTCAAGATGACCGACGACGTCCTGTGCGCGCGTTTCTCGCCCAACGGCAAGCTGCTGGCGCTCTCGCTCCTCGACAACACGGTCAAGGTGTTTTACTCGGACTCGCTCAAGTTCTTCCTCTCGCTCTACGGCCACAAGCTGCCGGTGCTGTCGCTCGACATTTCGCAGGACAGCAAGCTGTGCGTCACCGTGTCGGCCGACAAGAATGTCAAGATCTGGGGCCTCGACTTTGGCGACTGCCACAAGTCGATCTTTGCCCACGACGAGAGCATCATGGGCGTCTGCTTCGAGCACGGCCAGCAGGGCGGCGGGCTGTTTGGCGGCAGGCAGGGCGACTCGCACCACTTCTGGACCGTCGGCAAGGACGGCATGCTCAAGCACTGGGACGGCGACCGCTTCGAGCTCATCCAGCAGCTCGAGGGCCACCACGGCGAGGTGTGGGCGGTCACGCCCGGACATCGGGGCCAGATGGTCGTGACGGCGGGTGCGGACCGGTCGATCCGGACGTGGGAAAAGACCGACGAGCCCCTGTTCCTCGAGGAGGAGCGCGAGCGCGAGCTGGAGCGGGCCTACGACTCTGCGGCGGCGGCCACCTCGCGCGACGAGGGTCGCGCCATCGGCTCGCTGGCCGACGGTGCCGACCCCGACTCGGCAGTGCCGAGCGGTCCGGAGTCGACGGCCGTGTCCAAGTCGACGGCCGAGACGATGGTGGCGGGCGAGCGGCTGATCGAGGCGCTCGACATCGCCGACGCTGACATTGCGGCGCGCGAGCTGGCCATCAAGAACAATGTGCCCCCGCCGCCCTTCCACGCCCTCGTCGTGTCGGCGTTCGAGTCGGACGGCAAGCGCACCGTCGACGAGGAGGTGAGCGCGCAAAAGTACGTGCTCAAGACGGTCGAAAAGATCCTGCCCGCGCAGCTCGAAGACGCGCTACTGGTGCTGCCGTTTGACAAGGTGCTCAGCCTGCTGCGCTTCCTCGACCATTGGGCAAGAAAGGTGCGTTGTGGCTTGTCGTTGTCGTCCGGGCGTCGCTCCGATACCCTGCTCGCCGGTGCTGACCTTTCTTGACGCCCCCTTTTTTGCTTGGCACTTGTTGATGACCTCGATGACGGCAGGAGTGGAACACGACGCTCGTCTCGCGCATCCTCTTCTTCCTGCTGCGCACTCACCACGCCCAGATCGTATCTAACAGGGTCATGCGGCCGACGCTCGTCTCGCTGCGCGGACACCTGCGCAACGCCCTCGCCCGCCAGAAGGTGAGCAGTTGCAGATGGACCGTCTTGTCCCTTGTCCCTTGTCGTGTCGCAATCTCCGCTCTGCGAAAAAAAAAAAGGAGCTGACAGTGTTCTGCCCTCTTTGCTCCGCATCGCCAATGGCAGACGACGATCGGGTTCAACCTGGCGGCGCTCAAGTACGTCCGGGCGCAGCACATTGCCGCCAAGACGACGGAGATGTACGAAAAGTCGGGTCTGGACATGGACGAGGATGCGGTGCGGGCGCGCATCGAGGCCATGTCCAAGGGCAGGGGCAAGAGGAAGCTCCAGGTCGGCTGAAACCCGCGCAGGCTGGTCCCCCCTTTCGGATCTTGTCGCTCCCATCCATCTGTAGAGGTAGAAACTGGAATGCCCGAGATTGCCCTTCGTCGCGCTTCGATCCTTGATTGACAAGCTGCTCGGGCGGGTCTGTGGGCCTTGAGGAGCAGGCTTGGATTGGTCGGCCTGGCGTTGCAGATCTGACTCGACTGGACTGGACTGGCGACGGTGGCGGCATCTCGAGCCGGCGCTCTAGGTCGACCTTGGCACATGAGCTGCCAAGCACATCTTCAGGGCCCACCAGGGTGCCTCTGCCCAGACACTGACCAAGGCGTCCTTGGCTTGTGTTGCTCACAACCAGAACAACCAGAGGGCTTTCAGTTGGCGGGAGGACGACCGCAGACGATCCAGCTGCAGCGCCACTGGGCCATCAGCGTCGCACCCACCACATCCGAAGCGATGCCGAAAGGGGGGAAAAAAAGAGGATAACGTCACGCTGGTAATACATCCAAGTCTACATAGATCGATATCGGAGAGCGGCAGGCGCACTCGAGCCACGACTAGATGCGTTCAGAAGCCTCGCTGAGCGGGGAAGAGAGGTCGGCTGCTGCTGCTGCCCCGCGATGGTGGTGTCGCGGTGTCAACCACGTATCCAGCGATCCCTGATGGTTCCCCGCTGTCGTTCCGCGCACCGAGGTAGGAGCAGGAGCAGCCACGACAGACGTGGCGGGTCGATCGGGGAGGTCGAGGTCGAAGTCGAGGTCGAGCTTGACTTTTTTCGAGGCGCGCTGCTGCGCGGCTGGGATCGAGACGACGACGTTGGGCCGCGACGAGGTGAGGTCGAAAGTCGGTCGCGTCCGTTTCAGCGCGCCATTCACCCCAACCTTTTCCTTTCCCTCGCCGCTGCCGTTGCCGTTGAAGACGGGTGGTCCAGAGCGATGCGACGCCATGGGGATGGAAGAGGATGCGCCTTGGCGTGATGGCACCGAGGCTAGAGACGTCATCCCTCCTCGTCCACGTCCTCGTCCTCGTCCCCGTCCGCGACCACGGCCCCCGCCCCGTGGCCGTCCCCTTCCACGGCCCCGTCCCCGGCTGCTGCCGCTGCCGCTGCTGCTGCTACCGATGCCGCGGTCAACAGCACCGATGGCGATGCCGCCACCGTCGAGCATCGATTCTTCCATCTTGGGCCGCCGGGAAGCCGCAGGAGAAGGAGGTGGGAGCTCGTCGAGGTCGACGTAGAGGACCCGATCGTCCATAGTGGCGCGCATGGGCACCACCACCTCTGCGACCATCGTCGACGCTTCGGCCGATCCTTCGCTACGGAGACGAGGCGCGCGTTGCTTTTCGAGCACCGGCGTCTGACTCCCAGAGTCGGACCCACTGGGTTTCCCAGCGACCGCGCCTGACTTTGACGGCCCGTCTTGCACCGACGCCTCCGCGTCGTTTGCCTCGTCTTTGACGAGGGGGATCGGATGCAAAGCAGGCTGGCTGCTCGGCTCTGAGGAGGATGCTGTATCCGTCCCATCCTCCTTGGGCGGCTTGAGCACCGTCTCCTTCTCCAGCCCCTCTTCCTCTTCGAGCATGACGAGGGCCCGCAACGACGCGTTGCCCAGCGTCTCCGTGAGCCCTTCCACATTGGGAAGAACGACGCCCACCAGCCGCGATTGGGCGCGTCGTATGTCTGCCTGGGTGGCGAGGCGACCCTGCTCTATGCCGCGCAGCGTAGCCAGGGTCTGCGGCCGCTCAATGTCGACCACCTCAAACGGCTGACCGCGCATCTGGCTGCGCCGAGGAATGAAGCCCTCGTCAATGGCGGCCGCAGCCTCCCTGGCGCGTCGCTTCTGCTCTCGGCGGAACTCGAGCTTGGGCAGTACCTTTGGCCACGGCCAGCAGTAGCCCTCCTCGCCCGGCTCCACGGGCAGGCCGAGGATGTTGCGCTTCTCCTTGACCAGGGGCCACTCTTCGTCGGTCGGCGGGGGTGGGACCACCTTGCGGACGTGGCCGGGCCGCATGACGGGCGAGATGGTCTGCTTGGTGCCGAGCATCGTCACGATGGGGTTGAGCAGCCGCGCCTCTTCCGCCGTGCCGGCACCCGGGAGCGGCGGGGGCGGTTTGAGCGCGGTGCGATCGACGCGGAGCGGCTCAAAGATGGGCCGCAGGTCCGCCTCGGTCCACGGGTCGCGGTGGTAGATCTCGAGGTGGCTTTGAAGGGCCTACGCCGGAGTCGTCGGGGCGGTAGCTCGTCGGCGTTGTAAGCGCTCCTGATACAGAACGACAGCCAGGCCAAGTGGAACGCAGCCGTCCGTGTTCCTCGACACAACTCACCGTCTCTGAGCATAGGAGCGCCGTCGTGGGGCACATGGCAAAGGGGCAGGAATGCTTGAGGCCGTTCTGCGTCTCGAGGTGATGTAGCACGTGCCTGCCGAGCTCCTCGACGCGATACCGTCGATTGCTGCACGAGCCCCAGCGGCAGAAGCGCCGGGGATCCGAATCCTGACGCGGCGGCAGCAGGTCGAGCGGGTCACGGTCCTCGTCTCCAAAGATGGTGTGCAGCTCGTCGTGCTCTGCCGGCTTTGGCGCTGCCGAGCTGCCCTGGCTCTCCGGCTCGAGGTGCTCTGCCAGAATATGCCGTGCGAGGCCGTCGGCCGTGACAAAGCGGCGGTTACACCTCCTGGCTTCTGTGAATATCGTCTGCTCCGTGAGTCGCCACGAGCACGTCGCCTCGTCGCCGCGCGCCACTCGCTTGTGCGAGTTCCACCGCGTCTCGCCAAAGGGATCGGCCGGGTTCAGGGGCCCCCGATGCTCCGGCGACGATCTTGGCAGCAGGGCGTCGTTACCACTGCGGTCGCCTCGCCGCCTGCCACTGCTGCTGCTCGCGGTGGAGGGAGCCGCTTCCAGAATGGCCAGGGTATCAACGACCCGCGCGGCCTGCTGTGCGAGCTCGAGCTTTGAAGGTTTGACTTTGACAACGCCGTTCGGCGGCGCCGAGATTGGCTTCGAGGTTGAGGGGAGTGCAGAGGTTGAGGCTACAGGCGGCCCGTGCGGGGGCGGAGGGACGAAAGCGCTCACTGCCTTCGTGGGCGCCGTGCTGCTGCTGCTGCTGCTGCCGCTGCCCCCGCCCGTGACACGCTGAGCCGCTCCGTCGCCGTGGGCCTTGAGCGTGCCGTTTGCTTTGGCTTTAGATCTCGCATCGGCGGCGAGCAGACTTGGCGAGCTCTGCGACGCGGCGGCGGCACTCTTTCGCAATGAAAGGGGCAGCCGCGGTCTGGGCGAGAGGGGTATCTCGACGTAGACCTCGACATTGGAGCGGCGGGTGCTCGAAAACGCGTCGCGGCGCGCCTTGGCCTTGCCAGGCGGTCGTAGAGGATCATGCTGGGCGGCTCGAGAGGGCGAAGGGCGAGACGATGTGGCTGGCGCTAACGCCGGCGAAGAGGATGAGGAGTAGTAGTTGGGTCCGATGCGGCGGGAGCCAGTGGAAGGTGACGACGAGGCTGCCAAGTTGTGAGCGCTTTTGCCATTGCTGTTGCTGTTTGTGCTGGTGCTGGTGCTGGTGCTGGTGCTAGTTTTGGTGCTAGCCGGGATGGTATGACTGGGCGGCGGGGCGATTCCGGTGGCAGTGGTAGATGCGGTGGCCACCTTAGCCGTCGGCGCCGCCGCCGCCCTGCCCGCCGAGGATTTCGTGGGCCTGCCCGACGGCGAAGAGGCTGTGGTGGTGAAGGAAAAAGTCTGTGGCGCTTGCCGGAGAGGAGCGTTTGATGGTGGCGGCGGTCGTGGTGGTGGTAGTGGTGGTGGTGGTGGTGGTGGTGCTGTCGAGGCGGTGGTAGAAGTTGCGGCAACGGCGGCGGTGGCGGGGNGGGNGGNGGCGGNGGTGGCGCGNGGCGNGCAGCGAGCGCGGCGACGGCGGCGGTCGGCGGGCGGGCGGCGGCGGAC